GGATTATAAAAGTGCTCTGAAACAGAGGCTTGACTTGAAAAATTTTCAACATGAGTGGTTAAATTTGGCAAGGTCATCACAACCTGATTATTTCTAAAAAAAAAAACTGTAGAGGCAGTGACTGTGGTCTGTAAAATCTAATTGATAATTTTGGAGGTCGCATACGGTGAAGTACTAAATATCTGACGTTTCCCTGCACCCTGCTGCAGTTATTAAGAGAGAGATACTTTTGCTGAGCACATCAGATCTGCTTGCCAAACGGTTGACCCACTGTGCCTCAGAAGTATGTTTGCATTACAGACTGCCTGTTACTGATTTTGATGGCTTTCTTGTGGGATTGTAATTTTAAAATCTATTATACATTTTAGTTACTGTGCTATACCTTTTCTTTCTAACTTAACGGAAAAATTTACAGTCGCTAGATGTGAATCACAGTAAGCAGAAGTCATCAGGTTGCTGACTCATGGTTTCCTCACACTGCCCTTTGCTACCGGCCAGGAAATAAGTGTTTCTTCGCAGTGCTTGTGTGTGTGGTGTCTTGGGGAAGGGAGTTGGTTATTCTGCATGAGTCAGGCAGTAGACACTTTTATCTGGTGAGTGCTCAACAGTCGTCCTGATTGCAATGGTTCTTAGTTTTTGGCTTTCCCTCGTGTTGAGTTACATTTTCTAAATGCTGTCTTCATAGGATTCTCCCTAAAAGATTTTATTTTCTGTTTTTATATTACTGCTGGTATGCCTTTTGGCCTTTCTGCAGTTCTGCTTATTTTTCCCCACTGGTAGTCAAATCTCGGTTTATGCAAGTTTCCTGAGTTGGGAGGGATTTGAAATGTGGAGTGTAACACCAAAGGAAAATAATTTGTCAGCAAAAGTAAGGCTGGCTTGTGTTAAACTTGCAGAAAGGTTTTGCTTTCTTTAGATTTTTCAGGAATGGACTACTGCTAATAGCTTTTCACCTTTGAAGTTGCACTTCAGATGTGTGGGTGTTTTGCTCCAGAAGATAAGATGCGAAAAGGATATTTTGACTGTCTCAGTTGGGCTGCTAACCTGTTTATTTTGGCATCATTTTGGTTGTCTTTTGCATATGAAAAAACATGTTTAATTAACTTTTGGTAAGAAAATCTAAGGAATATAATTCCATGTTGTTTGTAGTATATCTATGTTGCTGCATTATTCAGCTGTGCAATATGCTGAAGAGGTGTGTGTTGTAAATACTACGTTGCTGCAACTTCGTTTGAAATCACACAAGCCTGTCACTTCTTGCTGCTGCCTCTCCTTTTCCAGCCTTTGTGGCTCGGTGTCATTGCCTGTGTAGTGCGAGACTTTCAGCGGGGTTTCAGCAAGGATTGCTTATGTGGTTTGTAACCTGATGTTTAAGCTGACTTTCTAAGGCATACAAACCATAAGTTTAGACCCAGATGTCTTGTCTCCCAGGAAACGGCTCTAACTAGTTAGGTATTATACTAAATACACTAAGGACATCTTGCCCCTCTATCCATTATCTGCAAACCTACACGGAAAGAATTTATTTGGATGCTTAAACGCAAGAAGGGATTGGCCTTTCTTACACAGGGAAGAGACCTTGAGGGAGGTGAGATACTTACATGCTTTGCAGCCATGTTAGTTAGCCTAGGATAACTGACTTAAGACTCTTAGAGCTCAGCATGACTGCTCTGTGTCCGAGTGTGTCCCTTTTGCCTCTTCTCATCTACTTCAGGTAGAAGATAACATAGATGGGGTAGTATCTATTGTCTTCAGTGTGTGGCCATCAGTAGTTTAATTCAGTGTAAGAATGCCTTTCCACCCTTGAGAGTCTAGCCAAACTAACCGACACCTTTCAGGTGTCTTTTTTGGCGCTGAAAAACAAACAATGGCATCGATGGCTGCAGTATTGTTACCTCAGAAGGAAGTGCGAATCCTTTGTGGATGCCTGACTTAGTAGTATCTATTGTCTTCAGTGTGTGGCCATCAGTAGTTTAATTCAGTGTAAGAATGCCTTTCCACCCTTGAGAGTCTAGCCAAACTAACCGACACCTTTCAGGTGTCTTTTTTGGCGCTGAAAAACAAACAATGGCATCGATGGCTGCAGTATTGTTACCTCAGAAGGAAGTGCGAATCCTTTGTGGATGCCTGACTTAGTGGATGGCCCCCGCAAATTTGTTCATTCACATGCTGCTTTGATTGGTGTGATGGTGTTTGTGTTTTAAAAGCTCGATTTTGCATTGTATTGCAGAGAATTGTCCCGATCAGAATCCTCTTCTTAAAAACTGGAGCCCTGGAAAAGATCCGGAAAAACGAGTTTTTATCAAAAAAGGGGATTTGTTTCGTCTGAACTCAGACGCTACAGTACACTCTATAGTTATACAGGACGGAGGTATGAAATAGCAAGATGAGCATAATGCTACAGTGGACTGCATAGCTTTTACTTCTGTGATTACATAAAAATATGTTGGAACTTTATGCTGCAGCTTATTGACCAGTTCCCCTGCTTTTACTTTTCAGCTTGCTGCCAGGTCAGGAATATCATTCAAAAGATGAATGAACACTGTGGTACCTTTTCAGTACAGCATTGATGTAGTTTTCTGTGTGATACTGTAAAAAAGATTGTTTACTAGCCTTCCTTGTACAAGATCTGTTTGTCTTCTGATGGTGACTGTTGTATATTAGTAATTCTGTCACAATGGCATAAAAGAATTAGGAATAAACCAAGCAAGTTCTTAGAAAGATAAAGCACAACTGGTAGCAGGTGCTTTCCCAAATATTTGTAAGTATATGTAAGAGCATAATAACTTCATTCATGGGTGTGGGAAACAAATTTGGAAATTTTCTGTTGTTCTTGCAGAACTTGGTTGTTTGAGTCTGTCTGAATTGGGCTTTGACATACAGAAATACTTTTTTCCTTTAGGTTTACTCGTTTTTGGTGATGACAAAGAAGGTTCTAAAAATATTACCTTGAGAACTCGATTTATCCTGATAAAGGATGGTGGAATGCTTCATGTTGGAGCAGAGAAATGCCGCTATAAATCCAAAGCAACTATTATTTTGTATGGGAAGTCAAATGAAGGTGCTGATGTTCCAGAATTTGGCAAAAAGTTTATTGGCGTGGGCCCCGAAGGAACGTTGGAGTTGCATGGGCACCAGAAGTTATCGTGGACTCTTCTGTCAAAGACTATGTATTTCTCAGGGCTGGCCTATGGTCATTATACATTTAAAAAGAATTTTTCCCGAGGACTAAATGTTAGAGTCATCGATCAGGACACAGCAGAGATTTTGGAGGTGCTGAAATTTGATACTCATGAATTTTCAGAAGATAGCTTGAAGCTCCAGAACTTACTGAAAAATGGAAGTCCTGGTCGCATTATTGCTATTGCTGTAGGAGACTCAGCTGCTAAAAACTTACTGGAAGAAACCAGAGTGACTATTCAAAATCTTCTGGGAAGTAAGTTTGTCAGAGGATTAAGTTACAGGTAAATAATTTATTTTCCCATTTGCACTGAGTAAAGATGAGATGCGGATTTGACAGTGTCAGTTCTTAAAGTTTTCAGAGAATTCCTGGTGTTGTACATAATGCTGCAGTATTAGTATTCAGTTTGTAATATCGTAATAGTAACAGGTATCTGTGTGACAGACTATCACCCATAATTGCTCTCTTTCACTGTTCTTTACAGAAATTAAAACTGGATGCAGCAAGGATTTTTTTCTCATTCTAACAGATAGAAAAGAGTTGCCAGGTGAAGCTTTTAATACATATTTTTTTATCTTTAGAGAAGCAAGGAATGGAACTAAATTGTCTTTAAGGTCCCTACCCACCCAAACCATTTTGTGATTCTAAGGGCTGCTAATCCTGTGTATCAAATAGCATCTTATTCCTACTCCTGCCCTGTTGAAATAAATGTACATTGCCCCTCCACTGATTCCTCAGAGGAACTGATCTGTAAATATATTTTGTAATTGAAGTGTACTTACAAGGTGCTTCTGTATCTTTTGACCATGCTTTTCAGAAATTGGATGGTGAAACAGTAGGGAAGATGTAACAGGAATTATTAAAGCAGGAAACTTAAACTGCTATGCTATTCATTTAGTTGTTGCAAATGGAATGTTGCAGTGCATATTCTGAAATTGGTTTTGTGCTGCAGAGATTGCCGACACTGCTCAGGACATAGAAAGCAATGTGCCCAGGTGGCCAAGAAGGTCAGTGGCATACTGGCTTGTATGAAAAACAGTGTGGCTAACAGGACCCAAGCAGTGATCATCCCTCTGTACTCCACACTGGTGGTGAGGCTGGACCTCAAGTAGTGTGTCCTGTTCTGGGTCCTTCATTTCAAGAAAGATTTGGAGGTGCTGGAGTGTGTCCATAGAAGAGCAATGAAGCTGGTGAAAGGTCTCTAGAGTAAGTCATATCAGGAGTGGCTGAAGGAGCTGAGGGTGTTTAGCTTGGAGAAAAGGAGGATCAGGGGAGACAATATCTCTCTCTACAACTACCTGAAAGGAGGTTGTAACCAGCTGGGGGTTGGTCTCTTCTCCCAGGCAACAAGTGGCAGGTTGAGAGGACATAGCTCCAAGCTGCACTAGGGAAGGTTCAGGTTGGATATCAGGAAGAATTTCTTCATGGAGAGGGTTGTTAAGCTTTGGAACAGGCTGCCCAGGATGCTGGTGGAGTCACTGTCCCTGGAGGTCTTCAGGAAATGACTGGACATGTCACTTAGTGCTGTGGTCTAGTTGATATTTGGTCAAAGGTTGGATTTGATGATATTAGAGTTGTTTTCCAACCTAAATGATTCTGTGATTCTGTGTTAGCAATACAAGTGAACAGTATACCCAGTCTAACTGACTGACAGTCTGTTCTTCAGCTTCCTTTTGAGATGGTGTTGTATAACCTCTTTGTATTGTCCAGTATTTTCCAGGAAATTGGTCATTTAGTTTTTCCATTCTATTCTTATCCCTCACTATGCTCTAACATCTGAATTCCAGTTAGTATCCTCCCTCTGCTTTGGCAGAGGTGAACTGACGCATCAATCAGGATGGCATGTTCTGACCTCAGTTCCTGTCAGGAGCACGTTTGTGTCACTGATTGTGTAAGCATGGGGTCATGGGCTGGAAAGCACTTGCAGCCTTGCCTCTGACACAGTGTGTTCGGATGTGCTGAGACCTGGGCATCCTGGAGTAGAGTCTCCTCCTGAAAGCAGTGAAGCCCACGTGGCTTCAGATTGTTGGGGTTGCAGTGCAGCTGGCCCGATCTGTCCTCAGAGGTGTGGGTTTCTGGTGTTTGTCTCTGCCCACGACCTCCACACTGGTATGTCTGAAATGAGGAACTTCTTCAGCCTGCAACTGGGAAGAAGCAGCCTTTTTTCCTTCTCTGCTGAACTGATTCTTGTCTGTTTTCCTTAGTCAGTAAACACTCTGTAAGCACATAAAATTGGTTTTGTTCTGCTGTGGAAGATGGGTGAGAAGCTCTCCCTGATGGCTCACTGAGTAAAAGCAGGGTTTTTTTATTAAACCTGTAAAGCTGGTGAAGAAGAATTCAGCATGGAGGTGAATACTGCATTACATCCCTCTCCCCTTCTACCTCTTCCTGCAAAATAACGTGTCAAAATATCTTGATTTTTTTTTTTTAAATGTTGGTATGTGAATTGTTCAACTTGTTTGCCACTGTTGCTGAAAAGTTGGCCCGACATGTACTATTCCTATAAACATGTTAATGCTAAACAGTTTCATTTGGCCTTTTAATCCCAGTCAACAAAAATATCAAGAGGGGATTGAAATAAGGGCAACTGAATTTAAGATGATTTGAATATCTGCCTTTGAATCACTTATTAGCAACAGACTGCAGTCCAGCTAGCTGACACTATCTTCATTTGTGGTGAATGGTTCCACTTTAATGATGCAAAATTGTCCAGATTTTTAATAAATGATCTCAACTGCTTCCTCCACACACATAATTATGGCAGTGCAGTAAAGGACCACAAAACAGCCTTGTTTTTTTGAACTTGGTGGCAGCTTTTTGTGGCATGTTGTATGCTTTTAATTTCCAAAAACTTATATGCCTTGAGCAGAGCCGTAAGAAGGGCAAGTACATCCAAGACAGTGCCCTGCTCCATGCTGGTGCTCAGCCAAGTAGGTGTCCGGCTGAGGGAAGGGAAAGGAAGAAAAGCAAAAACCCTAGATCTCAGCCTTCAGAAACAGCGATGATGTCTTGTGCAAAGGTTGTGTAACAGCATGTAGTTTGTTTTCTGCGTCTGAGCATGCTGAAAGATTCAAAAGTTACTGCCTGGTGAGCACAGTGACCAGTGCCAGTGCCCACTGCTGGCTGTGTCCATCCCTCCTAGCCTGATGAATATGTGGTCCCCTGGGTGTCCTGGCCACCTCTGTGGGATGCTGCTGGCCGATGTCAGTGAGCCATGGCAGGAACATTGGCACTGGCTCCTGGTCTTTCTGTGCCCTGCTAAAGCTTAACAGGAGTAGGATCCTGTATTGCCACTGTCACTCATCTCTAGTTAATTGCTTTTGGAGAAAGTATATCTTGTTGAATGATTACCAGAAATATATATGAAAGTCTTCTTTAATAAAAGCTGTTGTATTTGCCAGTTTGCACCTAGGACATCCAATTACTGTAAACAACTTTTCTGTTCAATAAGGTCTGCCCAGTTTCTTCTACATTTTGAAGTTACATTATAAAATTTGTTTGGATGAAGTTTTTTATTGTCTTCTGTGCTCCTTGTCTTTTTCCTGTTTGTGAAGAATTTGTTGAGTGACATTATATTTAAACATTTACTTTTGATTTTCACAGGCAAGCCTGGGCTTTAGTTGGTATCATAGGTGGTGGAAATTCTTCCTGTAATGAATCAGTGAGAAACTATGAAAACCACAGCACTGGTGGGAAAGCTCTTGCTCAGAAGGAGTTTTTCACAGTGGACGGTCAGAAATTTGTTGTGAGAGCTTACAGTGAATGGAATGATGGTAGGAAATTGTTCTGTGAAATCTTGCAATTGGGGAAGAAGTAAAAAATACTGTATATCTCTTTTTTTTTTTTTTTTTTTTCTTCTGCTAGAGCTGTTGGTTGCAATTTAAATTTTTGACTGGTGCTGTAAGTTGTTTTTTCTTGCTGTGGATGAAGTATTTAGAAACAGTTGTTCGGTACAACCTGTTTTCTTAAGCTGTTTGAATGGAGTATATGAACAGCATAATATTAAGAGCATAAATTTTTAGAATATTTAGATGGAAATAGGGGCTATTATAAATGCTGGCATGGAGGGACTATTTTAGTAATTTGTCAGTCATGTATGTTTTAAATCTAAGCTTCTGAGATGTTGGTTGTGGTGCTAAAAAACCAACTAGATTGAAGTCAAGACAAATGTTTTATTCTCGTTAGAATTTTCTGTTGCTGTTTAAATGCTGAACTTTAGGCAGCTGTTCTCATACAAAGTTGAATCTGTGGTAATAAAAGCGTGGAAGGCCTGCCACTTGTTTGCTTTTATCCTTTATTCATTTTTCTTTGTTTAAGATATCTTTGATCTGAGTTTTTATGAGTAGTCATCTCTATCTGTTAGAATTACTAAGCAACATTGTTTTTATCAGAAGCATTTTTTAAGGTAGTCTATATTTATTTGTTGAGCAATTGAGCTGTTACTTGAAACAAGCAAAATTTGTCACTTGAAACAAGCAGAGGTAGCTGGGCCTACAGGTTGTTGCCATATGATATTAGGGTTTTTTTTTAAAAAAAAACATAGACGTTTCCTGTTACCGTTAGTTCCATCTTTTCCCTTTGTTTTATTAGAGATACAAAAAATAATCAGGCTGTAATGGTATCTTACACTGGCTTGTTTGAGGTCAGAATTGTACTTTGGAGGGCTTTGGAGCTTGTGAAATCTCATGCATATTAGTATCTTCTTGGGAGTGACAAATATCATCTTACATTGTGTTTACCTTTTTTTTTTAATTAGGTGTTCCAATTTCAGGCTTCCAGGTGGAAGCTGTAGGTGGAGTAGTGCTGAATCTTCTGGATGATGTTAGTAGTTGGGAGCCTGGAGACAAGATTGTGGTTGCAAGCACTGACTATTCAATGTATCAGACAGAGGAATTCACCCTCATTCCCTGCTTGGAGTGCACCAAGCATCAGGTTAAAGTCAAAGGTATGAGAGCCATCACCACTTGAAGTTCTGTGTCAAGCATGTTTTTGACCCCGGACAGTCTCCTGCAGGTGGAAAGGCTATTCTCTGCTGTTCCCACTCTCTGTGTATGGCTTTGTTGTCATATACACAAATGTGTAATTCTCCTTGCTGTAAAATGACTCTGTATAATGTCAGGCCTGCTTCACAGCTTACTATACTAACTTTTCTTTCTAATTTCTTTCTAGGCTCATTGAATGCCTTAGTTTTTTGTCCAAGAGAATTATGCTTGTTTTCCCCTTTCTTGGCTGCTTTCTGTCACTTCACAAGTTCTCTTTATACATGCCTGAATAGCTGTTGTGGTTATTTGCCATTTTCTTTGCCTTTTTAGAGTTCTTCCCATTTTTTGTACTGTTATTGTATTTTTTCTGTTGTTGTTAAAAAAGGAGAAGTAAAAAAAAAAGAAGAAAAAGGAAATTTGCAATCTCTGAATCTGTACCTTTTTTCCTTTTTTTCTCCTTTTCCTCAGTCTCTTCTGTACCTCAACCAACAAAATGGTTATGAAATATGTGACCCTTTCAAGACTGCTCACACAGGATATCCCTGAGTAGTTGCAATCTGTTTTTCCTTTGGGTGGGATGCACATAAAATGGTCATGCATGTTGACTGTTCCGTTTTTATTATCTGAGTCATTCCTTGTGATGTCACGAGAACCTTCTGTGGGACTGGCTCCCCAGCTCTGCTGGCATCTGTGTTTCCTTTTGCTGCTCCACACCCACTTCACGTTGACACCCTCCTCCTTGGTGGTCCTCCAGCCTCTGGTCTGGGGCTTCTCCTCTCCCTCATTCTGGTGGGCTGCACGGTCAGCTGGAAGCACAAACTACCAAGTGGTTCTACAGAGTTAGCTTGTGGCAGCTGATCAGTGCATTTCTGAATCTGGTCTTGTCCCATTATTCACTGCACAGTGCAACTTCTTCAAACCACTCTTCTTCATTCTTAGAAGTTTTCTGTGAGTGCCCTCAAACTTTCCTGTTCCCCTGTGCCTTAAGGAACTGCCAGTCTGTATGCCCCCTTTGCAGTGAAATTTGCATTCCACAGCATTCATTAGCCTGGGTCACATTAGTTTTACTGCATTGAGAAGTCTCACATATGGAAAAAGCATATGTGAGTTTACCTTATTATACATTGGAGAATACCGGAGTGTGTGTAGCTGTGGAGCTGCCTTAGTGTCATTGAACATGGTATTTCCTGGACTTAATTTGTCTTTAAAACAGATTAAGCAGCCAGCATATTTTTTCTTTTGAAGCAAGTCTGCATCTATGTTTCACTAAATTTTCTAGATAAATTGGATTAATTTGAACTTTTTTTGGTTTTTTATCCATTCTGTTCACAAACTTTTGGACTGAAATTAAGATGCACTTTTTTAAAATTAGTTTCTTATTAAAATGAAAAATACATCTACCATAAGCTAAGAAAGAGCAACGTGTTAAGGTAGAGGAATGCATGGGGTTTGTTGCTACAATTAACTTGCTTATATAAATACGTTGATTCTAGTTTTAATCAAGGACTTTTTTTTCTTTTTTTCTTCCCCCCCTCCTAAACTGTTTTTGGACAGAAAATCCTCAGTTTCCTCATGTGGGAGAAGTTATTGATGGAGTGGACATGAGAGCAGAAGTTGGAGTTCTTACAAGAAACATCTTAATCAAGGGGGAGACAGAAGATACTTGCTATCATGAAAAGGAGTGTCAGTTCTTCAGTTATGATACTTTTGGTGGACATATCAAGGTATGAAAAACATTTTAAAATGGGTTTCTGTCATGTAAAGGCATATAGAGGACAGAAAGAGTTAAACTTTGAGGGATTTGAAAACTTAAAGAACATCAATTCATGCAGTTGCTTTGTCTGGAAATTACTTTGTTCTCAGCTTTCCCAAAATTAGATTTAACCCTTCAAGACTTAGTGTGTAGAACTGGAGGAAGGAATATCAACACGTACGTGTTCTAGAAATACCCAGCAGGTGTTCCAATGTTGTATGGCAGGGTTTAAACCTTACAAATGACATCCACGCGTATATATATGTAATATTACAGAATAAAGTTTGATCTCCCTTTCTCTGCCTTCCCCCTTTTCACTTCCTCCCTCCCTCCCCAGGTGATGAGCATTGAATCCTACAGATCTGAAACTCTGCACTAGAGAGGCACAGAGAGGAAACAAACTAAGCTGGATCATGCAGGATTTATTGTAAATTTTTTTTAAAATTTGAAAGTACTAAGGCATAGGAAAGATATAGGAATAAGGCATAAGGTATAGGAAACTTCGTCTAACATCCTGTATTATAAAGAAAGCCAAATGAAAGCACTGTTGTAGAAACTAATATGTTCCTTACATTTTTAGATGAAAAGATTGAGCTGCAAAGCTTCACTGATGCTAGAGAAGTTTGAGGCCTTGGATTTTAAATGCAAATATATTTGTGCTCATTATATGATCATCACAGTTTAAATCTCTTTCTAATATATTTGGATGCAGACTTTGATTTTACGGTGCTGGACATGATGGTGAGAAAGAAAATATGTCATTCCCTACTGCAGCTTTTGTTTTGTGGAAGAGAAGTAGGTGGACTCAAGGCACTCCGTTATGTTCAAGATAATGTAATGAAACAAAATAATGACAAGCTGTGAATCTTGCAAAGTGTGAGCTTGATTGCCATAGAGTGCAAATACAGCAGACCCCTCAGATATGTGAAAGATATAAGAGAAAACAAATATTTTGTGTCATCAGACTTGTTAAAACTTCCTGGGGTGGAAGAGAAGTAGGTGGACTCAAGGCACTCCGTTATGTTCAAGATAATGTAATGAAACAAAATAATGACAAGCTGTGAATCTTGCAAAGTGTGAGCTTGATTGCCATAGAGTGCAAATACAGCAGACCCCTCAGATATGTGAAAGATATAAGAGAAAACAAATATTTTGTGTCATCAGACTTGTTAAAACTTCCTGGGAGACTGCTCAGAGTAGTGCCTGCTGCCGAACCTAGACTTCAGCACTGAAAGCATTTTGAACTTATGCTAATCTTGTGTGCTAAAGCAGTGGGATCCTAGACACTAAGAAATGTTAATGGCTTTTGATCATCTTGGATTTCCTACTGGTCACTAGGACAGCAGCATAAAGGAGGCT